TTGTGGCTCATGCTGTCAGCAGCCAGGTATTGCTGATAGCATTCCTTTATGGGGCCAGGGATGTAGCTCAGTGGTGAAGCACCTGCCTGGCAAGCATGAGGTCGTGAGGTCATTGCTGGTACAAAACAAAAACAAAAAAATTTTTATGTGATAGCCACTTCTGTCTTTTTAGTGGGCTGCCTCTGATCTCTGCAGACTTAGAAACATGTAGTATGCTTGTTAAATTGTCTCTGAAATAAGAATAAATAGACTCAAGCTGTCCCTCCCAGTTCCTGGTTTATGCTGGATTTTGAGGGTGATCTTCAGACAGATGCAATTGGGAAAGCAGGGCATCACCGGCTGGCTGGGGCTGGCTGATTCTCCAGTCTCTGATTCTGCACCCTAAGCCCATGTGCTCCACATTGTAAGTGTCTTTAGCAGGCAGAGAGTGATTGATAAATTTTCTCTTTACCTTTTAAAGTCCCTCTGAGGCCACCTGACTATTGCTCAAAGTCACCAAGGCCAAGAACTTATCTTCTTTTTCTTTCTTTGCCTCTTTCCTCTCCATGACCTATCTGAGAAGAGGAGGAGGGAGAAGAGGCTGCCTCAAATCCAGAGTCTTACCTGGATCTGCCCAAGCAAATTTCATCAAAAACTACCAAAAGGATCCTGATGCTTCTGTGTGATGAGTCGGTGAGGCACTTCCTTGGGATATTTCTGAGGTTTCTGCGGGGGCCAGTGTGGTGCCCTGCATACCCTAGGAGGGACTTGAGGAGTGGGGTTAGGGTCAGCCTATACTTGTGGGGCAGGTGACAGAGAGGCTGTGCCCCACTGGGCCAGCTGGCACCAGCTCTTCCCCTAGGGGCTCAGCAGGTGGCTCCTGCTGACTGGACACGATACTCCTGAACTTCCTTATCCCTACCTGCCAACTGCTGTGGCCTTTCTCTGAGGGCTCAATTTGAAGTTCTTCCAGGTATCATAGGTGTCGGATATCTGTATTGTGCGTTGACAAAAAGGATTAGGCCAGCTACTCAGGGAGCTGAGACAAAAGGATTGCAAGTTTGAGGCCATCTTGGGAAATTTAAGGAGACCCTATGTCAGAATAAAAAATAAGAAGGGCTAAGGGATAGCCTGACACTCCCTGGGGTCAATCCCCAGTACCATGAAAGGGAACAAAAGCGCAAAGTGTTGAACTTGGAAAGTTAAATGTTGTATTGGAGCTGGGTTTGCTGGAGGTTGAATTGTTACCAAATAGGGCCAGTGTTTATTTAGGGGTCACAGTTCTTCAGTGGATGAAGAAGTGGACCAAGGCTCAGCAGCCTTTGATCCCTTGAGACAGCTGTGGCAGTCCTCTTCGCTGCAAAGGCTGGCTCTTGCCACTGGGGTCCTTCCTGTTTGCAAGCTTGATGTCAGCGGCTGCCTCCCCATCAAGGCCTCCTGCTCTCCCCAGCAACCGGCAGGCCTTGTCTTCTCATGCACCGTCCCTATCTATTTGCTGTGTATTGTGTCCTGACATGTTCATGCCTCATGCCATTCCTTCCACTCGTGCCTCCTGCTGGGTTCCATAACTGTTTGGGGATATGATGAATTGGGCACCTGAGGCTGGACCTGGTTTGGACTGCCGTGGAGACTGGTGTTTACCCCGTGGCTGTGAGAGAAGTGGAGACTGGCATTGTCCTTGGCCTTGCTCATTGGAACAGCTCTTATGCATCCTCTGGGGCCAGAGTTTCACCTAAGGGGGGTTCACTCTGTGGCATTGTTCCTGGAGACACACAGAGGGTAGCCTTGTTCCTGGAACCTGTCTCTGACTGGAGATTCCTTCTTTCTTCTCTTCAGGGTTTCCTCATAGAAAGCAAGCTGCTGAGCCTTCTCCTTCCTCTGGAGAAGACCGAGTGCTATCTGCTGAGGTTGGATGCCATCTTCTCAGTGAGTTCTACTGAACTGAGGGGACAAGGGGTGGGGGCAGGATGAGTAAATCCTGTCTCTCTTTCTGCATTGCTTTGGCCCTGATTGTAGATAGTGATCTGGAACTTTCTTGGGCTCACCATGATGATCTTTATCTTGCTCTCAGAAAAGAAATTGTCCTCAGCATCACTTAGATGTTTCCCATCTATGATCCTTCCTCACTGGCCTGTCTCTCTCTATCTCTCTGTCTCCATCTCTGTCTCTATCTCCATCTCTCTCTGACTCTGTCTCTCTCTGTCTCTATCTCTCTGTGTCTCTGTCGCTGTCTCTCTCTCTCTCTCTCTCTCTCTCTCTCTCTCTCTCATTCCTGGCCATGGCTTCAGGTTGTAAGTTCTCCTCTATACCAAAACTCAGATATAGTATGTGTTTTAACTCTCCCTTCAGCTCTCTTATGCTCCACAGATCTATGTGGGGCTGCTTCTGACTCGAAGCTTTGCCTCTCTGTTCTAATGTCCCCAGCTTTACTGTGGCTTCTGAGCGCTGGGCCAGTGCCCTCTATCCTGGGCTATGGCAGGCTCTAGGAAGGCCGAAGGGCTTGAGTTGAGCCTTTCACTCTGAGGAAATGAGACCCTTCAGCACGTGTCTGGCCTCTCTGACAGTGTCTGAACAGTCATCTTGTTTTTTCCAGGCCCTTGGAATCGAAAGTGAGGATGACTTGTATAAGCTGGTGAACTTCTTCTTCAAATATCAAGCCCACCATGGATCCTCCAGCCAGGTGAGATGAGGGGCAAGGAGTGTTTTCAGTTCTTCTGGAAGCCCCTAGAGGGCATTGCTGCCTTTGAATAATCCTAGGAAAGTGTGTGTGTGTGTGTGTGTGTGTGTGTGTGTGTGTTTCCTGAGCCCTCAGCACTGTAAGACCTGAACCCTCCATACTGTATGGATTTTGATTCCTAACACTTTCTTGAAAAGTGTAGTTCATTTGTACTACTGGGCATATATATTTTGAAACTGATTTCAGTAAGAGAATGAAATAGCAACTGTTCTGAAGAAGTCATGGTACTAAAAATTATTGCATCTTAACTTAAAATTTAAGAAGGGCCAGCCAGATAGCTCAGCGGACTAAAGCGCCTGCTTAGGCAGGCAGGGACCAGGTTCGATCCCCAGAGTGCTGTGCTGGCCCCACTCCCAGAGCACACTGAGCCCTCGACTGAGACTGGGCGTGGTGGCACATGCCTTTAATCCCAGGACTTGGGAGGCTGAAAATAGGAGGATCACTGTGAGTCCAACCTGTGTAGTGAGACCCTGTAGACCCTGTACTAAAATTATAAAAAAAGAATTTGAGTTTTACTTCTCAGGTTGGTAGAAAGCTAAACCTTTGATAGCACATAGGATTGTCACCTCCAAGTAAGGATAATGTAACAGTACGAATTACAAAGCTTTATATGCTTTATAGTTCTTGTAGAATTTTTTTCTATAGATAAATCTCAGTATAATTGCAATGTTGTATTTACTGTAGCTTTTTCATTTCTCAGATGAAATAGAATTTTCATTCTGTGTGATATAGCAGAAGACTGGAAACAACCTAAGTGTCCAACTATTTATTTATGTAATAGTAAATGATACTTTTACACACTTGGACACTGGGATAGTATGTGACTATATAAATAAAAAAGTAAAAAAAAAAATGCAAGACTACCCTGTATAGTAGTAGCATTTATGTAATAATGGGAAGGAAAAAGATTTCTGTATATATTTATATGTATATTTGCTTATACAGACATTCTCTTGGGCAGTATATATAAGAAAATGGATAACATTACTTTGCCTCAGGGAGGTAAACTGAATAAAGGCAAAAACAGAAGTAGGAGGAAGACTTTTAAAATTGAAACATTAAAGCAAAGTTTATTTTGTATTATGATTCAAAAGGATATGGATAGCTGGTAAGCTTCGATGACTACGTATCAAAACAGTGAATACCCGGAACCCAGGCTTAGAACGTTGTTGCTTGGCAGCCCTCCCCTACCTCCCCATCCAGCTTTCCCTATTTTGTCCTGGTGTAAATGTCTCCCTCTGCAAGTTCTTGGAACTTTCTTGTTCTCATCTCGTCTTCCCTTCACATGCTCATGCATTGTGTCCCCACCTGGTTACCCTTGCACCTTTCTCCAGACAAACCCCAGGGACGGCACAGGCACTGAGCGGTCAAGCCTGGCATCAGGGGTGGAGAGATTCAGCATGGCAACAGCAGTGGCGCAGAGCAGCCTTGAATCTGTCATCCCGAGAACCAGCCTGGCATCTGCGTCGGAGGCAGCAGAGCAGACTTCACTGGAGGGAGGAGATGGCGGAGAGCAGGAAGAGAAGGCAGCCCAGGCTCCTTCCAGGCTCATCCACCCTAACGATGTCCTCAAGGTCCTGGAGGCCTTCGTCATGGGTCTGAGGAAGTCCAGGTGGGCTGTGGGGCCAGAGAGCTTGTCTGAGACCTGGAGGGAGGGGAGCAGGCTGGAGCCAGGGACAGACTAGTGAGTAGTGAGTAAGGACATGACTTTGGGAAACTGAGGGACATAGTCATGAAATAAATGAGGTGTAGGAGTGATTTTCTCCTGTTTTGGTTCCTTCCTTCTTCCTTCCTTCTTCCTTCCTTCCTTCCTTCCTTCCTTCCTTCCTTCCTTCCTTCCTTCCACAAAAGTTTATTGTGGTCTGCCAGGCATAGCACCGTTTGATCAGAACAATGGCAGAAGCATGGCTGAGTACTACGTTGTAACAGGGCAAGAAGGAAGTAGCGTCTCTATTTGGTTGTCAGCGAGGTTATAGGGAAGAATGGCACAGGAATTGGGTGCTCCTAGGTCCGGGAGGAGGACCTGTGGGTTGGGGATCAGGTCAGAGCCCCTGCCTAATCTGGTGATCTTTGTCTCTGTCCCGGTGTCTGGAGCCAGGAGAGGATTTTCAGGGTGGGAGGAGTCACGATTTAACTTTTGTTCTAGAAGAATCTCTTTGAAGGCAGGGAGTGACTCAGGCTCTTGCGCTTGCCAGGGAAGCGCTTATTCCCCTGAGCCATCTCCCTGGCATGGCTACAGGGAGAGTAAGCTGTAGGCTTGTCAGGGTGGGAGGGTCAAGGGCACCCTAGAGGGGGTGGAAAGAAGGCTTCCCAATTGCACAGCTGCTTTGGATGAACTCAGGAAACAAAGGGAAGTGACAGTCAAGGTCAGTGGGTGGGGGCAGGTATGTGGATAAAACTCCAGCAATGTGTTACCAAGGTGACACAGGGCCTGCAAGGAACATGGACAATAAACGTAAGCTTTCTAAGCATCTGCCATGGTGTAATAAATAGCCCAGGACAGCTGAGTGGGGACTGGGTAGGTGGAAAGGCAGATGGTCTCTTGACTGTCATGAAGCACTGAGAGTGGCACTGTTTGGGGACTTGGGGTGTCAGGTGGAGATCATGACACTGGTGCTCATCCCTTCAGGGACTTTTGGGCACCACTGAAAGTGGGGAAGGATATGCGAGATGATTCAAAAGATTCCAAGTACTGGGAGGCTCTGTCCACCGTCATCCCCACTGCCAAGCAGAACCTGTGGGACACGTTCTACACAGCCCTGGAGCGATACCAGTGAGTGTGTGTCAAGGAGGATGGAGCCAGGCTCCCGCTTTTCACTTTCCCACCCTGCGCAGTCCTAGGGAGAGAAGTTGCCTTGTCGGGTGGGTGGCCAGTGCCTTCCTCATCCTCTTCCCCCTGGCCTGGGGGGAAGGCAAGGCTTCCATGGTCCTCTTCCACAGCCAGAGCAAAATCTCACAGGTCCCAGCCCCTACTTGGTGGTTGTTGAATTCTGTTGGCCTTTAACCCATTCTCTCACCCAAAGCCTTGTCCTGACCCAGCGGGCCAAGCTGCTGGTAGAGAATGAGTCCCTGGAGCAGCAGAATGCTGAACTACAGTCTCTCCTGCAGCAGTATCTGCACTCCAAGGTGAGCGGCAAGGTGCCTGGGTTGTGGCTGCACGCAGCGGACGAGCCCTTCCAGGTGGGCTGGGGCTGGGATGCAAAATCAGCCAGTCTCACCTCCGGTGTCAAAGTTGCTGGCAAGGCAGTGATGGTCACTGGCAGCGTTACTGCCCGGTGTCACTTCCTGAACTTCTTTCCCAGGCAGGTGGGCTGTGACCATGTCCCTTTGATGCCCATGCTTTGGTCCCACCCCTGTTAGGACCACTGTGCTTAAAGCGGTGCATAGCTGGCGGAATCCCTGTGTTTGTTTTCTCCTTGATCTGAACAACTACAGGTTAAGGGAGAGGCAGGAGCTGTTCTCTTATTTCATGAAAAGGAGAAACAAGACTCAAAGACTGGGGCTGGTGAGATGGCTCAGTGGTCTAAAGCACCTACTTAGAACAAGCTAAGCACAGGGACCGCGGTTCAATCCCCCAGCACCACATGCCAGCCAGCCCTGCCCCTTGGTGGGCTGAGCTGGCCATACATACACACAAAATAAATAAAACAAATAAATAAAATTAAAAAAAAAAAAGACTCAAAGACTTGGTGAGGCACCCAGGGCCCTGCATGCTTTCCAGCCCTTTGGCCAGCTTCCCTGGCCTTCTGGCCCCCACTAGTGGTCTCTCTAGCAATAGCTATGGCAGCTGCCCCACAGCCAGGCAGGAGGAGGAAGGAAAGTCCTCCATGACAGTGTGTGCTCTCCATGGCTAATATAGAATCCTGCACACATGTTGAGCTCATGGCTAGGAAAAGCATGCGCAACACAAACACCAGTTGCACATGGGTGAGGTGACTGAGGTGGCCACGTGTGGCCGTGGCTGGGTCCCAGGTGTCAAGCTACACATGAGTGGTGGATGAGGTGAACTTTGGCATTGTGTTGACCTCTTGGCCTGTGACAGGGCTCAGATATGTGTGGACCATATGGCCTTAACTTCCACAGACACTGCTGTGTACAAGGGGATGAGGAGGGGAGATAGGCAGGGGGAGACAGGAATCAGCGGAGTGAGGAGGAGAGAAGCTTAAGGGATTGTGTGGGTTGCTAGCTGGAGCCTAATTCACACAGAAAGGGGGGCGGGGTGAGGTGGCATCAGAAGGAAGCAGCTTTCAGCCCTCAGATGTGCTGTTTGGCTTTGGAGAGGCAATGGTTACCAGGGTTTAGAAATTGTGGGAGCGCTACATATGCACTTGACTTCCCCCCAGAGGACAAGAGGAGGAGAGCCTCGGGACAGGAAGCAACCTTCACACTAGTGGGACAGGAAGTGACCTTCACATTGGTGGAAAAGGAAGTGACCTTGACACTTTCTTTTCCAGATAAACTCTGAGCTGCAAGTTCCTCCGACTCAGGTGTTCCGAGTGCCCACCAAGTAGAAGTGGACCTGTGAGGCTGACGTGTATGAGCTGGTGCTGGAGACCAGAGCCCACCCTGGGTTTTCTGGAGCTATCATTCCAGACCTGTGGAAAGAAGGTGGCAAGAGGAGCCACCTGCCTCCTATAGTTCCTATTAAAGTCTTTTGAAACCAGAGGCAGAGTTTCTTTTAAGAGGCCAGGCCTGGTGAAATGGGAGCTCCTGCCCCTACCTGTGCACCACGAGTGAACTTGTGCCAGGTTCAGGTTGTGGTGTGTGACAGAGGTGGAGGCCAGCAGTGTGGGGTTTCCTTCTTGTTTCTCTGAGCAGCTGTTGCTATGGGTGGTGGAGACGGGAGCTCTGGGGTTTATGTAGTCTTCAACCTCCAGACTGGCCCCAGCTCTGAAGGGTTTTTCAGTGCTTTCAGGCCCCCGCATGAGCCCAGTGGTTCCCTCTGCACTGTGGGGGTGCTCCCCTTGTGGGCACACTGAGCAGCTGGCCCTGTGCTTGGGGCCCACCTTGAACCCTGGGCTACCACCAAGGGAAGAGTTTACCAACCTAGAGTGCCTGTGGACCCTGTACCCCACACCAGCAACTTCCATCTCACAAGGCCAACACAGACTTGTCAGCCCAGTGCTTGATTTATTTTATGAAGAGAAAAAAAAAAAAATCACACTCAAGCAAGGAAAAATGGCCAATAAGAACCTAGGCGCAGGCAGGGGACAGCTCACTGAGTGCAAAGTCCTGACTGCGGCAGTGGGGCAGTGGGGCTCAGGATTTGTTCTCCAGGGTCTGTCTGGGCTTGTGGGCACTCGCCCAGGCAGAGGATGCCCTGGGAAGTAGCAGAAACCCGCAGTTAGGTCCAAGATAGAGCTGAGCACATGCCGACAGGTGGCTGCCACAAGGAGGACTGGGAGGAGCGGGGCACAGCAGCTGGCTGCCCTCAGGGCTGGTGGTGAGTGCTGGCTCGGTGCTGCAGAGCTGACTGGTGGTGTGGCTCTGTCTTCAAGATGCCATCACAGGTGGGATAGTGAGGCCTTTTGCTTGTTTATTCTTTCAGAGCTCTGGATGCTGGCCCTAGTGTCTTGATTAATTTCATTAAAGCTTTATTCCTAGCCTACAAAGTCCAAAGGGCAGGCTTAGGGCAGCTTCTGCTGGAGCAGGGCTTGCAGGAGGGTGGAGCCTCAGCACCGTGTGGAGGAGAGGGGACCAGATCCAGGTCCCCACCCCTTCCCACACTCCCCAGCCCACAGGCAAGATCAGAAGGGCAGGACTGGGCAGGCAGCAGTCTGGGATGGCAGCCCAAGAGGTAGAAGGAGCTACCGACCCAAGGCTGAAGGTGGATGTGAGGCTCTTCAGGCTCTCAAGGCAGTGGGAAAAGAGTCCAGGCCACAGGGAGGGCAAACGCAGCAGGCCCTGGAGAGGTACTGGAGGGAGCAGGAACCTTCAGGCCCCTAGCAGCTTCTTGACCATGTATCCAGGAAGGCTGTAGAGGAACAGGGCCAGCATGAGCAGCCCCAGCAAGGCCAGCACGATCTTGATGATGAGCCACTTGTAGCGGGTGCAGATGAGATACTTGATGGACTTGAGTGGGTTGAGGAACCAGACGAAGGCAGTGTCGGGCCGGCTGGGGAGTGGAAAGGAGAGGTTCTGGTCACTAGCTGCCCCCTTGGGGCACCCATGCTCTGTCCTGCCAGTCCCCAGGGCACCCTGTCTCGGCCTTGGCCCCCAAAGCACTGAGCCTGGAGCCTGGGTTGTACCCATTTCTAAGCAGCAGATCTGCTTTGCATAAAGACCTATCCTCTCCATGGGGTTCTAGTGGTTGATTGCCCAGCACAGCAGGTCATTCTGATGGCCAGGAAGCCCCTGCACTTGGCAGGTCAGCGTTGCCCCATGTTGGGACATCAGGACATCAGTGCTGCATCTTCTGTCCCCTTTCCTGTGATGCTCATCATCTAGGCAGCTCTGGAGGGCAGTAACCCTCACTGTCCCACCACCATCAGAGTACGGGCCTCCTCTACTGTCTACACAGCTCCCCAGCCAAGAGCCTTACTCCGTGCTTTGGGTCACATAAACAGGTTTCATAAGACTGCCATGTACAAAGTTAAAGTCATTCAATATGTTTTTCCCATCTCCTGCCCTCCCCAGTGCTCGGGGAAGCTGGGCTGCATCAGAGTTCTGTATCAGTGAGGCAGTGTAGCCTGGCCTGGGGCACTTAGCTGATCCTTGAGACTGGAGCCAGCTCGCCACAGGAGGCCTCTCAAGGGGAGGAACGATTTCAGGATGTCCTGGGAAATCCCAGCCATACCCTCGCTCCTTTCCCTGTCCATATCTCAACTTAGATTACAGTTGGTAAATAATGCATATGGGAGAGGAGGCTGGGGTCCCTACTTATCTCACCCTGTTTGGGTGATCTTGGGTAAGCTACATCACTTCTCTGGCCCAACATGTAAAACTGTAAAGAAGCCAGTTCCTGCTCTGAGAGTCTGTGCTTCTGTCTTGAGAGTTTGAAAGCTGCTGTGTATGTTTGCATGGGCTTGTGTGTATGTGCATGTATGTGCATGTGTGTGCTTATGTGCACAGGTGGCTTCCACATGACAGCTGGCCTCCAGTCCTCAGACAGGAGGGAGAAGTACCAGACCCCAGAGCAGGGGGACTCAGGCCCCGACGATCTTCTTGGCCAGGTAGCCAGGCACAGAGTAGAGAAAGAGGGCGAACACGAGGAGTAGCAGCAGGAGCAGCAGCAGCTTGAGGAGCAGCCAGCGGTAAGTGTGCCACAGGAAGTAGCGGGCAGACTTGAGAGGGTTGAAGAACCAGATGAAGCTTGTGTCAGGCCGGCTGAAGCATCAGGAAGAGCAGAAGGGAGCACAGAGAAAGGGCGGGGAGGGGGGAGGGGGAGGGGCTGAGATGGTGAGGGCTGCGCAGGAGCAGTTCAGGTGCCTCCAGGCCCTTGAGGCCAGCTGGGGCCCTAGTGCTGCCAGGGAGCTGCTTGCCTCTGGCAAAAACTAGGAAGACCCTGTTTCCTCTGCTGGCTGGGCCTTTGCGGTGTCCCTGTTCTGATGGTTCATCCTCTATCAGAAAGGGAAGTGATGGGATTCAAGAATGGAGGGGGAGGCACCCCAGGCCACGAAGGTGTGGCCCTGAAGAAGCAGAGAGGGCACCTGGGGGAGGGGGCAGGAAGCCCCCCTTCCTGTTCTGTCCCCAAGAGCCACATGTCTGGAGGTTCAGGCAGGATCAGCACTCACTTGGGTTTCTCTAGGGGGTCAGGTTCATTACGGGCCAGGCCCACTGGATTCTTCTCTGCCTCCTCTGCTGTCAGTAAGTGCAGCTCAGCTTCCACCTTGCCCTGAAGAGGATAGTAAGGTCCCATTAGCCTGGCCAGGTGCCAAGCACTTGGCACCCCAGCTTGGCCCAGCCTCGCCCACTCCTGAGTAGGAGTGCCCACCGTGAGCTCAAACTCATCATTCTCATTTCGGGCCAGGAGGGGCCACCAGCCTTTGACGCGCTTCTGCTTGAAGATGGAGACCAGTGGCACGTCTACCTCCCCGGTGGCCATCTCCATGGTGCACTGCTTGGCTGTCTTTGCACCCCGGGGAAACCGATTCAGGTCCAGCTCAATGGCCCCTGTTGCGACCTAGGGTCAGCTCTCAGGCAATGTGACAGTAAGGACACCCCAGCCTCCCTGATGCCTAACTGGCTGAGAGTGGGCTGTCCCAGCACCCTCCCACCTCACTCCCTTCATCCCTGCCCTTCCAGGGATGTAGGGCATCCCTGGTCACCTGCTGGCTCCACTCTGTCAAAGTCCTGCTGGTCTCACAGACTTTTGGGATAAAGAATAGAGTTTGGGAGGGGTCTACTTTGCACAGGAGCAATCTGAGGCCTGGGGAGGGATGTCTCTTTAGGACGCCTTGCTGGTCCCTCTGAGGCATGTCTGAAGCACCTTGTCAGCTTCAGGTATGACATGCATGGGGGGCTCCTGGAGGTGGGATCCCCTTGGATCTCTGTCTGATGGACTAGGTGGGTCTGACACCCTGTATCTCCAAGTGAGCTCGCCCTGCCCCACCCCATCCTGCTCTCTGCTCTGGACCCCAGCCCCTGCCCCACTCTGCACCCAGGAAGTCGTCGGCAGAGAAGTGGTCAGCATCCCAGATCTGCAGGGTGAGTCGCGCGGGGATTTTGTACTCTGTCTCATCCCAGGAGAACATGGACTCCTTCTTGGAGATGACGATCCTCTCTTCCGCCGCCAGGTAGTCGAAGGGGAACAGGTAGCGCCAGTTGAAGTTGCCTTCTCCGGTGAGGGAGTGGTAATGTACATCCGTGTCCTGCTTGTCTTCCTGCTGGCCCTTCAGCCACCTGCCGGGTGCCACACACCTTTCAGACCTGTGGCTGCAAGCCAGGCGGCCTAAGCTCCCCCCCCATCCCCAAAGGTGGATGTGGCAGGCAGGGAGCGCTCACCCACCCCCGCACAAAAATGTCGCTGGACTTCTCCCCTGTGAAGAAGTCATCATCCTCCAGGACCACCTCATCTGTGTTCCACACGATGACACGGAGCTCATACCTGGCAGGGTCAGGACACCCAGTGGGCACCTCAGGCTGGGGGTTTCCCCAGAGTTCCAGGGCAAGAACAGGTAAGGGCTGGAGAGGAGAATCCCTGGGACTTGGGGTTGGCCCTGGGGCTGGGAGAGCCAATGGCAGCCATAGGGAAGCCTTGTCCCCATGGTCCCTAGCTAGATGAGCCAGCCCACCAGAAGTCACATGCTGCCTCTACTCCAGGTGGGCACACTCCTGAGCAGAGAAGCCAAGGCCAGGGAGAGCAGGGCCTGAGAGGCCAGCAGTTGGGCTCCCAATTTTATTGATACTTAAGGCCAGGAGCCTGCTATGGAAAACCTATAGGTTCTGGTTTCCTTCATGTCTTTATCTTCAAAGAGTGTTTCCCTCAAGATATAATTTAATTACAAATCTGGTAAGAATGAGGCTGTGTTGTCCATGAATGCGGATGGGGCCATAGCTCAGTGGAGTTACAGGACTAATGCTGGCCTGCAGGCCAGAATGAGCCGTGAGGTTCGGTTGCCCCCTTGTGGAAAAATTAGCAACAGCGGCTAGTTCAGGTAGAGTGACTGGGTAATTTTC